AATGGAGCCGTACACTAGATTCCGGGTATATTTTGGGTCAGTTTGTTAGAAGAAACTACCTCCCAAAATTTTAAAGAAAGAAAAAAAATATATATGTATATATATATACATGCATATATATATATAGTTAAATACAATGAAAGAATAGAATATAACTGTAAAAATGTAAATTAAAAAAGGCTTAAAGAGTTGACAAAATAAGAAACTGGTTGAAAAAGAAAACAAAAAAAAAATTGAAAGACTAAAGAATCATGAGAGAAAAACCATGAATTATACTATTATACTATTTTTTCCTAGCGCTGCAGTTTTGCAGTTCTGTGTGATACGTAAACTTGGTCTTAGCTGGATGTTCTTACTGATCTTCTGGGGAGGGGCCCGTTGCCCTGATGCTTAGGTGTCTTTGCCCCAGGTAGAATTGTACCCCCCTTGCCCAGGGGGCCAAGTTAAGTGCAAGTGACTCCGGATTGCTTTATGTGGCTTTTGTTCCCTGAAGGCTTTCTGTGCTGCTTTAGAAAATGAGAATGAAAATGGTGGCCTCCCAGTCTCCAGCCCTGGACCTGAGAGCTCGGGGCTTCTCTCCTCCATGTGCCCTCCGGGAAAAGCAGTCAGTTATTCCTGTCTCCCTGGTCTCTCTCTGCACTCCATGCTTATCCAGTCTGTGACCCAGGATTTCTATCTCAGGCTCGTGACCCCACATCGATTCTTCAGACCCTGCATACTCCTGTAAGCATGCTTCTGTGCTGTTCTTGCAGGGTGAGGGGAGGGGGGTCTCCCTGTGGTTCTGCTGCTTGCTGGGGCCCTCCCCCGAGAGCCGTGGCTGGACTGTGCTGCAAGGGTTCGTGGTTTATGGCGACCCCGAGCTGAGAGCCCACTCCTGGCCTTGCTGATTGCAGCCAGCTTCCCTGATCTGATGTCTGGGAACTCCGCCTGGTCTTCCTGTGACCTGAGGATCCCGAGACCGCACTATTCCACTTAGGATTCTGCCCTATTTTGTCACCAGAGTGCCTTTCAGGCAGGGATGTTCCTCACCTGAGCAGACTTCTGAAAGTTCCGATGTTGTGCTCTGCTGCTATATCACTTTCCAGTAACTGGCTTAGGGAGGCTCCTCCCCACCCCTTCCACAGTTTATCTTCCCATATATCGCCCCAGATTCACTTCACTTATCCACAGCCCCTACCTTGCAGAGAGTGGCCACTTTTCTATTTGTAGAGCTATAACTATTCTTTTCTTTGATCTCTGTTTGAGTTTGCAGGCGTTCAGAGTGATTTGATAGATCTAGCTGAATTCCTGGGACCAGACAAAACTAAGGTCTCCTACTCCTCTGCCATCTTGGAGATCATTTTCGTTTCTTTTTTTCAGATTTATTCATTTATTTTATAGAGAGTGGGGGCAGGTAGGTTCAGAGGGAGAGAGTCTGGAGCAGACTCTGCACCGAGCATGGAACTTGACGTGGGGCTCAATCTCAGGACTCTGAGATCATGACCTGAACCAAAACCAAGGGTGGTACACTTAAGCAACTGCACCACCCAGGCCTTCTTCCTGCTTTTTCTTGATAGCACTTTTATCAGGACTTTATACTATGTATTTTATGTATTCATTTTGTGTTTTGTTTTTTCTTTAGAATACAGTCTCCATGGGGGAGGAATTTTTGTCTGAGATGTTTTGTAGGAAAGTGCATGGCACATCACTAAATAGGCTCTCAGCAAATATTTGTTGAAAGAATTAATAAAAAAAAGGTAATTTATTGCTGCATGTAACTATTAAGTCTGAAACACTTGTAGAACTGAAATTACCCTATACAGGGAGAGAGATTATTTATTAAGCCAATCTCTCCAGAGGAGAATGGGAAACTGTTTTTAGGTTTAGTGCCATAGAATATAAATAAATATAAGAAAAAAAATATAAAGTAACCTAAGAAATATGAGAAAAAAATATAGGTAAATATCTTCCAGGGGAGGGAAAGAGAGGAGTTTATTTCTCCAGAGCTTATTGGAGGTCTCTGTCTTTAGGGATACATGCTCTCTAGCTTCCGAGGCTGGATATTGTGCAATTATTCTTGTAGTACCTTTTTCTCAGAAGCCTCTGATTGTGCAGGAACATGGGAAATCCAGAGAGAATTGTTTCTCAGCAGCAATTCCAAAATTCTAGAATCTAACATCTATTCACACCAGAATTCACCTGAACTCAAGTGTGATTAGATCAAGGGATGAAATATTTTCAGAGCTTTCATTTCTCTGTCCATCTCTTGGCTTTTGTTTTCTCTGGGTTGGCTCTCTGACAAGTTGGCATCTACTGCATTCTTTCAGTTTAGCAACCTCAGCCAAAAGAGAACTTTCTGATTAGTTCTGGCAAAAATTTTGGGACTGAGTTTTAGTTGTCCAATTGGGTCACATACCCATTCCTGAACTCTTCTTGGGGAAGGAAATATACTGATTGTCCAGGCCTGGGTTATGTACATATTCTAGGAACTTTGTGCTTATTTCAGGAGCCTGAGAGAGGGAATGGTTAGTGTCACTCAAACTACATGGCTTCAAAATAAGGGAAGGTAGTTCAACAGAAGAAAATTGGGATGCTGCTACCAAAAGAAGGGGAATAAAATACAACACAGCTCTGTCACCTGTATGTACTTGCAACCCAAACTGGTTAAAAACATAGAATCTTGTTATATATATATGTATGTGTGTGTGTGTGTGTATTTATAGGCATCACTGCCTCATGATTTTTCATCATATCACATCATGAACAAGAAATTTTCTGTAAAAACATGATTTTAAATGGATGTAAAATTATATTTAAATTTATCACTTCATTTTAGATATTTGGCTTACCAGAATTAAATTTTGGTTGATCACAATTGGGTATTACCTATTAGAGAAGTAAGAGGGGTAAAGGTAGGAAGGAGAAGTATGCACCATGAGTGTGAGAGGCAAGGGAGATGCCCAAGACGCAATTTAAGACTGGCTTTCAGGGTCATGCGGCTACAGGGTGGCACTGGTATGACCCTGAGAGTGAATTGCACCCTAGGCACCCCTCTTGCCTCACGAAGAGAGGCACAGTTAAGGAATAGGGACTATATTTTTACTATGATTGTGAGTTAAAGATGGTAGCCTATGTAGTTGGTGAAATTGGTGGGGAATATTAAGGTGCACAAAAAAGTAGTTATTATGCATTTTCAACTTGTCTATAGGAATCTTTGCTGAGTTCTGATGAGGATGGTAATATTTTTGAGATAACGTAAGGAATATAAGTTTTATTCATAGTTTTATACTAGTTTGAAGAAAGAAATGTTCCATTTAGAAATGCCACCAAGGAAGTTGTTACTTATTTTTAACCCAAACTATTTCAATATCATATGGAAAATTGTTTTTTTTTTCATTGAAAAATAAAAATTATAGAAACAAGTTGTGTTGGAGAATGACACATAAATAACAGATGGGTGCTTTGACTAGCTTCCTTGAGAAAGACACTTGACACTGCACTGCTCAATGTTTGGCATGTAATCTTATTTGAATAGTTATCTTTCTTGTTCTTAGGTCTTTGAAAATAACTGTTTCTGTATCACAGTGAAAGGCCGGAATATGAAATTCTAGGTATTCTTAGCTTTCTTTGCTGACAGAGGAGTGGCTAAAAATACTTCAAAGTAAATGGAGTGTCCTATAATTTTGGGGTCTGTCTCTGGGGTAGAATCTGTAACATATATAATATGTACATTTATGTACGCACTCATACGTTTTGTTCCTTGGAAATCTTTATAAGTAATACTGTTTATTAGCTCTACATGGCTTAACTGAAGATAAGCTATTGACAGCAGCATGATTAAAATTTTCATAGTTAAGTATCATTTAAAGTCATGAATTTTACCATTTAATGTAGAAACTCTTGTCAAAGCCCTACTTTACACCAAAGTGTACGAGTCAGGGAAAGCCGTAATTTGCTTTGGAAATAAATTCATTCAGTACTCACTTGTTTGGTGACTAGTGTTCCAGGGATTGTATAAGATGCTGGCTATATTAAGATGAGTTCTGTTCTCAATCATGTCAGAGTTTAAAGGAAGAAGAGGAATGTAATAATACTCTTGTTACATGTAGATTAAATTTCCAGCCAGTTCTAGCTTTGGGAACCTTGCCACATCTACAGGAGAACATATGCTTGTGTAGGGGACCAAGAAGGAACCTTTTTGGAAATGAATAAAAAGCTTAGAAGAGTAGGAGACTTGGAAGGTATTCCTAACATACTTTGTTTGGCCAGTTTTCTGACCAGAGGGAAGGAGTTATCTTATTGATAACCTCCATGAAGTGTCCTTTGATTCTTGTGAAAGCCAAGGAAGTGGGGGAAATGATAGGAAATAGAATAGGCAAACATTCTTATAACCAAGAAGTCGGCATTAGAAATACAAAGGCCTGAGGCAGAAAATGAGACCTGGTGACAGAGCTGTAAATGACATTATTGGATAAAGAAGAGAGCCAGTAACCAAGAAGCACCTTAGCAATTCTTCTAGTGACAAGAATTGAGAGAACAGTGACAGAGGAGTCAGGCTTTGGCATGCTAAGAGGTATTAGAGAAAAGGCCTGTTTGCTGGGAGACTTTTTGGCAAATCTTCCCAGCCTTTGAGAGTTTTTTTTTACATATTTAATTACTACTTTAGGCTGTGATAATATTTTAACAAATGTAGTTACTTGCCTCTTTTGATATGCTTCAAACTTGAAATGAGTTTTATGCTCTGAAAATGGAGAGAAACACAAATTATCTATTCAAAACTGAGGGAATAGATTAGGGGAGAAGGTAAGATGCATTACACATTGAGAAAGTTGTGGAAAGAAATAGGAGAGAGTAAGCAGGGGAAAGAAAAGTTAGGTAAATGTAGCATTCTTATTTTTAATGGGGTGACTCTTATACACTGTCACAATTAATTTCCAATAGTAGCCTGCTATACTCCATGTGTACATTTTTACTTTTTCTCTGTAGTTAACATTTCTGACTCCTTGAATTTCTTCTTGCAGCTCATGTTTTTCTGGCCAGACCTGTGGTCATTCCCGTGAGACTTCACTGCACATTTTCTGAAGTGTCTTCCTCATCCCTAATGTGTAATCCTTCAACATGGACCTGCTACTTTAGCTAAGATATGACCAGCAATGAATAGTAGTAAGGTAGGATTACTTTAGTCTTCTTAGTGAATTACTAAAAACAAACTGTGAAACAGTTTTGACCTGTCTTGATTTTGTAGTGTTTATGTTAGATTATTCTACTTGCACAATCATATCATATTTGTGTTACATATTTTCTGCTTGTCATTTATCCTGCTGAATTCTGTCTCATTTGAGATGTAATTAATGTTTTTTTTCAAATAGCATTTATAATCAGCAGAATGCCAATCCATAACCCCTTCCAGCCTGTGTGTCCCCTAGTCCTGTATTTTCAACCACGTGGCACTAAACTCAGTATATATTATTTTCTTCTCAGTCACTCCTCCTCTGGCTTCTCTATTTCCATTAATAGCATTATTAGTCCCATTGTTTAGTACAGTCATATATTCATTCACTATTTCACTCATTGTTTGCTGTACATCAATAGACTTGTACTATGTATTAGACAGTTTGCTGCTTCTGGGGATATGATGACGAATGAGCTTGATATTCCATCCTTATAGCCATAATTTTAAAGTAGGGGGAAGGTTTAAAAAGATACTGACAAAATAGTTGTGAATTGTAATAAACTTTTTTGAAGGAAACCAAACAAGCAGATGTTTGGGGATAATGAAGTAGGAGCTACTTTAGATACGGTGGTCACAAAACTGATATTCAAGATGAACCTATATATGAGAAGAGGTTGTTTTAAGAGTAGGTGATGTGTGTGTGTGTGTGTGTGTGTGTGTGTGGTATTTTTGATGGGAAAAGCATTCTCATTAGAAGGACTAGTGGAGTCAGAGAAAGACAAATACTGTGTATACTTATGTATGAAATCTTAAAAAGACCAGCTCATAGAAATAGAGTAGAATGGTGGTTGCCAGGAGCTGAGGAGTAGGGGAAATGGGAAGATGCTGGTTAAAGGGTACAAACTCTCAGCGTTAAGATAAATAAGATCTGGGGTTCTGATGCACAACTTGGTGACTATAATTAACAGTACTGTATTATGTACTTAAAATTTGTTAAGAGAGTAGTTCTTAAATGTTATCACCACATTCACACACACACACACACACACACACACACACACACACAGTTATAATTACCTGAAGAGATGGAGATGTTAACTAATCTTATTGGGGTAACCATTTTGTAATATATGCATAGAGCCAGTCATCATATTGTATACCTTAAAACTTACACATGTTATATGTCAATAATATCTTAATAAAGCTGAAGGCAGTAGAGGGAAAGAAGGAATAGTGGGTACAAAGACTTTGGGGCAGGAAAGTTTAGTGAGTTTGGGGAATAGAAAAAAACGCCAGTGTGGCTGACTTAGTGAAAGAGGCAGAGATGGGTAGGAAGAGGTTATAGAAACATGCAGGGCTTTGACAGGTTTGGTAGGAAGCTTGTATATTATTCTAGATTATATCATCATTTCAGCTGCTATGTGAGGAATGGACTGGCCAGGTGAAAGTGAAAGCTGGCAGTTTTAGGAACTGAGGTGAGATAGTGATGGCCTGAGAAGATGCTAGCAACATGAGACAGAGAGATGAATGGATTTGAAATGTATCTGAATCAGAATTTATGGGACTTTGAATAGTTTGGGTGTGGAAACAGAACATTCTCAAGAATAGCTTCAAGATTTTTGGGTTTTGAGCAACTGGGTGGATGCTGGCATCATGCCCAAAAACCTTTTAGAAAGCTTTCTCATTATATTAAAGATTGGTTAGTTCACCAAAAGGGAAATTAATTATAATGTTAGAAATGATGTTAGTGCTGGAAATAAAACCATCTAGCAAATTTGTAATATGTTCTGGTTAATACTTTGTTTTGCTTTCCCCCTGGAATTTAATTTATATGACTTTGTCTTTATTTTTATTTTATTAAATTTTCTTTTATTTGAGTGTAATTGACACACAGTGTTACATCAGTTTCTGGTGTACAATAGAATGATTCAACAAGTTTATATATTATGCTATGACCAGCACAAGTGTAGCTACTACCATCTGTCACCACACAGTGCTATTATTGACAGATCATTGACTGTATTCCTTGTGTGGTGCCTTTTAATTTATATGACTTTTAATTAATTATTAATTTAATTTCATTTGACTTCAGAATCTTCTTAGAAGTGAAAATAATTGGTTATACTTTGTACTGATTTTTAAAAAAGATTTTATTTATTTTTGAGTGTGTGCATGTATGCGCGAGTAGGAGGAGGAGCAGAGGGGAAGGGGCAGAGGGCGAGGGGCAGAGGGGGACAGAGAAAAAACCTCAAGCAGACTCCAAATTGAGTGTCCAGCCAGATGTGGGGTTTGATCCCAGGACTCTGAGATCACAACCCAAGGTGAAACCAAGAGTCAGACGCTGAACCAACTGAGCTACCCAGGCAACTCTATTTTGATATTGAATTCTAAACCTTCTCTCCTGTGCTCCCTTTTTAAAAAGAGATGTCTTTAAAAATTTTAAGCCAGTCTGAAACATTCTGAGACTGTTACCCAAAATTCTGGTATATAATTTTATTGTTACTTTATCTTGCAAATTCTGAAGCATCCTATTTGTAGATGTATATCATACTGTGTTCACTTGAAAGCATGCAGCTTATCTAAACTCTTAGGAGATTCATTTATTATGGTTTTTCTTTTTGTAGCTTCATCAGAGTATATTTATATTTTATCTCTTAGGTTAGATATTTTATGTGCAAACTGAAATTGAATAGATATTAAAATAAATCTTTCCAATTCTGTGTTACTTATTTCTTTTAAGTTAATTTTTTAGTCCTATCTTTTTTTTTAATGAGGAACTTTAAAAATATTTTCTCAAAATAGAGGAATTACTATTTATTGTTTGTGTTCCATGTGACAGGCATTTGGCTAGCTATTTTAAATACTTTATTTTACCCTTAGAATAGTCCGGTGTGTTTCTCCACTTTGCATATAGTTATCTTTTGGGTTCTAGAGCTGAGAAGAAGTAGTAGAATAATAGAACTCTGTGGATGGAAGGACCTTGAAGTCATCTATTTCTTCCTCTTTCAGCTGATACATAGAGAAGTTCTGTGGCCTGCCCAGAATCACACAGCTGATTTTTACTTTTGCTGAGACTAGTACTGCTTGCACTCAAGTTTCATTCCAGCTGGCCTCCTCTCATGCCTTTTATCTTCCCATCCCTTTAACATCTCATTATGATAAAGTTCAGTGCTACATAACAATGGAAAATGTAGGACAGTAAACACCCATATTACCTTTCATCTGTAGTCATTCAGTGTTCACATTTTGGCACATTTTCTCTTCATACATATGCATATTTTAAAGATTTATATTTATTATATGTATGTGTTTTAAAGATTTGGGAGAGTGTTTGCATGCGCATGAGCAGGGGACAAGGCAAAGGGAGAGGATCTCAAGCTGACTCTACGCTGAGGCTGATTCTGACTCTGGGCTAGATCCCAGGACCCTGCGATCATGACCTGAGTCAAAATCAAGAGCCGACTGCTTAACCTCCTGAGCCACCCAGGTGTTCCTATTTATATATTTTTCAAGTTATTTGAAACTATATTGAGATTATGATAATATATAGTTTTTATCATGCATATCCTAAGAACATGGACAATTTTCTGCTTGGTCATAATATCAAAATCACATATAGGAAAATTAACATTAATTTAAGAATATCTTTAATTAATGGTCCTTATTCAGATCTTCCCAATTTTCCCTAAATTTTTTTCTTGAGATTTCTGGATCCAGGATTCAATCAGGTTTCATGCATTGCATTTGATTCTTATATATCTTTATTTTCTTTTAATTTTGAACAATCCCTCTTTTGTTTTTCATGATTTATGTTTTCTTTAAGAGATATAGTTTGTGTATACTTCGTGTTTCTCTTGGGAATTGCCTGGTTTCTTCGAACATTACTCATCTAAAACTTATTTGCAGTTTGCTTCTTTCTTTCCATTTCTCTGAGGTTGCTGGAGATAAAATTGTTTATTCCAAGCTTTTTTCTTTTTTTTAAAAAACCATCATTCCAACATTAAATGGACACTGGCTGAGGTTTTACATTTGGTTGCATTAAATTAAGGATAAGAAAATGAGATCTGTGTTGCATTTGATCCACTCACACTAGTTAGTGATTGGAATTCATTTAAGATGACAGAGGCCTAGGAGCACCTGGGTGGCTCAGTGGGTTAAGCCTCTGCCTTCGGCTCAGGTTACGGTCTCAGGGTCCTGGGATCGAGCCCCTCATCAGGCTCTGCTCGGCAGGGAGCCTGTTTCCCCCTCTTTCTCCGCCTGCTTCTCTGCCTACTTGTGATCTCTCTCTCTCTTTCTGTCAAATAAATAAAATCTTAAAAAAAAAAAAGAATGACAGAAGTCTGAAGGATTGCCTCTACTATCCACCATTACCCACCCTCACCTTCTAACCAGTTGGTTATACTTAGGAATGTATATTTAGTCTCCATGAACATTATAAAGCAGCAACAGTCTAAGATTTTGTCTTTTAAAAATGCCCAGTTTCAAGCAGGAAGCAGATTAAAATGCAAATGATAAATAAGCATATTTGTAGAGATAGCCAGAACTAGGTACAATGAGGAAAGATTTAAGTACCTGCTCGCTCTGGTACTTGTGTAGAGCTGGCATTCAGTGAGTATTCTCCTTCTTTCCTTGCTTGCTTTTGAGTTTTACAGATTTGGTTGGTTTTCTTTAAGCATCATATGGCATTTAGGAACAAGTGATGTTTTGTAGGGAAGCAGTAAGAAGTAATAATTTACCGGCATTTTTAAAGAAGGGAGAGTGATATTTTAGTTGAGAGGGTAGAAGAAAGTGTCCGTGAGGAAGGGACTACTCATGGTAGTTTAGGGAAGTCTAGGAAGCTTTTACTTCTTTTTGTTCAGCCAGGTTTAGATTATACTCTGTGCTTCTACTATACTTCGTACAAGGATTCCTGTAGCAATTACTGCTATGTGTTAGAACTGCTTTTCCTTAAGAAGCTCCCTGAGGCTGTGACCAGTAATGTTTTTTTTTTTTTAA